GGCGTTAGCCCTGGCGATGTATGTCTCACCATCGAGGGGGCTCTGAGCGCCAGCTCTTGGGGAGGGTTTCTCTGTGGGCTCTGGACCAGGCCCTTGTCTCTCCAGGCGCTCTCTCCTGGTTCCTTGGAGATCTCCATGTGCCTTAGCATCCGTCTTCACTTTTTTTTTTTTTTTAAACTTTCTCTGCTTGCTTGGTTGTGTAATCTCCTGTGTTTTCTCAAAAGAGGTCGGTTCAAAAGAGATAGGGGCTAGGGTGCCTCCTTTAAGATTGGCTCCCCGGCCCCTGGCCAAGGTGACTCCTTGTTCTACACCAGCTCATCACCCATCACTCCGCCTTGCCTCTCAGTCACCACCACCGGCCCCCTTGTCCTGTTTCTCAGGGCCTCAGGCACTCCCCGGCTGCGCTTGGCTGAGGTTTGGGTCTCACTCTCGTGTGCAGGTGCCTCCTCCCTGCTACCTGTTCCTCAGAACGCAGCTCAGTGGTGGGTGGGCGGAGAGGCAGCTGCAGCCGAGTCCCACAGTGCTGGACCGCTGCCGGCCGCGGTTCAGGGTGTGCTTCAGCCCTCTGGAACAGACGCCTCTGTCCTCCGAACTCGCAGCAGGTTCTCTTCACATCTGGAAAAGTTCAAGCGTGTTTGTCTGGGTGAAGGAGGCCCTTTGGGGGAGAGGATTCAAAAGCATGACATCACCCCAGTCAGACGCAGTTTCCTTTGGAGAGAGAGGAGGGCTGGACCGGGCTGGGGTTCCCAAGAACCTTTGGGCTGGGAGCCGGGGAGTGGGAGGCAGGTGTCAAGGGAGGTTGTTACTGAATGGTGCCTTGAGGGTGTCTTTTTCAATTCTGTTTTTGAGATGTTATCACCACTGGCCTCCCACAGTGAATTGTGTCTGGGGTGGGATCGGTGAGGACCTGACTGAAGGGAGGCAAAAACCTGGACTCGCTTCTCTATCTTGTTTATTTGGATAAACCCACCTCCTACCTGAGCCAGATAGAAGCCCCTCATCCTGTTCTCTCCTGAGGAGCGGAAGAAGATTCCAGATGCTTGGTAGTTTCTCTCCAGCTGCCATTCTTGCTACGCCCACTAAAGAGTTACCTTCCCCTCCTATAACTGTTAAAGATGGCCAGCTGTAAGCATTCAGCTCGGTGGTGCTGGTGGTGGTGG